CAAGAAATATAATCCTCAAAACCCCAGAATACCTCTACCTAAGGTGACTCTGTGGCCTCCTCCTGAGCCGCTCACCAGATACTGATGAATCATAATTCAGGTTGTTCCCTATACCCACAAGCTTCCTTTATGAAAGGAAACTTTGTATTAGATGGAACTCATAGTAATTCACACTGCACGCTATTAGCATCATCCAGCACAATTTCTGCTTTCTCTGCTCAACTTCCTTTCCTGTGTCCTTCTCAGTGACTTTCTGGGTTTGATAGGACCTGGACAACTACTCTTGCTGAAATTTGTTAAGCCGATTTTTGAACGTTATAGCAAGGACTAGACGCACCAATTAAAAACCTACGTAGTATAACAGTAACTCCAAATGAACAAGTTTGATCAATTATTTTATTTTACGAAATTCCAAAAATTGAAATGTGGGGATTTCCTTGCCACTCCTTTGCTCTACAGATAAATAAAAGGAAAAGTTTGCTCAAGGGAAATATATAAAACGTTTTTTATTTGTTTTGCTTTGGTGGGGGAAGAGAAAGTAAATCAGGAACTAAAAATTTGGAGTTTTCACTTTCTGTTTCTTCAGAAATAATCAATGAGTCCACAGTAACAGAAACAGTTTGTTCTAAATTAAATAGACAAAAACACAGTTCCTCTCCAACTTCACCATTTTTTTTTTTCTCTCTTCATGTAACTGTCTTGGTGATGCAGTGTCTAGACTTCTTGGAAGAAGTGATGGAGTCTGGAATTTATTCTGTGGGTTTGAAAATGGCTATTTGCGTCTCCTACATACTTCTATGTGAAAATCCAGTGCTTTCAGAATATGTAAAAATCATTGAACTGTTTACCAAAAAAGAAAACTTATCCATGAATATCAAAACTTTAAGCTGCCACCAGCGGGGAAATATTATATGGATTTATCCATTTTATCTACATCATCTCATTGTAATATGGGTCCCATCAGCCATTATATCCCCCCAAAATGCAAAATAATGTGTACTCATGAAAGAATTATGGAAGACATTTTCTAGCTTTTGAGAAAAAACAGTAAAATAAATTAGCTTAAAGGATAGAAATCCATTCTTGTTTTGGTTTTAATAAGTAATTCACAGAAATTTGTCAACTCAAAGGGCAGTTTTTTTTTATATCACAGGTCCTTCTTTAGGTTTTTGTCATTTATTAGCTGGATGAAAAGAAAGCAATCTTAGGCACTGAGATCTAAACCATGTTTGTACAGCCTACATTATTAAGTCTGACTGTAGTTTGTCTCTGCTCTTAAGGAAATCATACTGTATGCTTAGAGAAAGTTCAGAGTTATTTGTCACCAATTACCTAAAGCTGAGAGTTGGTCTTACACATAGCTGTAGCCATTTCCTGTAAGTTTTTGTACCTTATTTTACAAGGCTGTCACTTCTTGAGGCTTTACCCTAGAAAATATATGTCTACCACAGAAAAGTTTCATTGCAAACGTTTATCGAGAGATAATAGCCTTACAGGGTATAAAACTCCATAGCATTGACTTGTTTAAAATAAGCCTATCCCTAATTTTGAAACAACATTCTCCAGCTCTATTAGATTTTCTGTGACACCAAAAAAAAAGAAAAGAAGAAGAGCAGCCAGAAGGGCGTTTTTTTATTTAAATTAAAAAATACACATACACAACACATTGAACAGAGCTGATCTCATTTATACTATAAAATCTCTATTAGTTCTGAAGAGTAGCATAAAATTAAATTATAAAATAAGTTACGTACAAGGGGTAGCCTTTCTAGAAGAAAATGAGGTATTCTGAGTATATAGTGAAAATTTAAAAATCTATGGAAATGAAATGACAATAAAATGTTAAAACCAAGGCATTATTATCCTGTATTTCTTAATTGGAACTCCAATTATTAAAGTTTGTTATTTTTTTAAAAGTTGATATTATTTTGCACGGTAATGATCATAAAAGCTCTTAGGACACCTTAGTTATTTTATTTATTTCAAGAGTACTGAAGTAGACTGAAAAGTGGGCTGAATCTTGTGTCAACAGAACTGGAGTTATTCCAGTATATCTCAGTTTCTCAGTCTGTAAAATGGGTGAGCCATCCTGCCTAACTCACAGCATTGTTCTGAAGAGATAACTCTCAATTTATGCTATAAGCAGTTGAGTTTGGGCCACTTTCACAACTTCAGTGAATGCCACAGAAGGTATGAAGATTTACTGATTTTACTGAACAGAACACAGATGGGGTCTTGAATAACTCAGAGTCATTTCAAGAAGCTTAGCTAAGAATGACACAAAATACTTTTCATTAACTACACTGCTTGAGAACTCTAGTTTGACAAGGGAGGTCTAAAACTGAGGTGGATTCTCATGAGAAGTCGTGAACGGTGCTACGTGTGGCCCCAGCCCACGTCCCTAAATCTAGTTCACAGAAAGGTCTCCTTAGCTATGCAGACCGTGGAGCAGGGGTGGGTCGAGCCATGTCCAGTGACATTGTCTTATGTCGAGGACACGCACACTCACTGATGACAATTGCAAAGTTTGGAATTACTAACTCAGGAATAGAAAATACTCAGATCAGTGAGGGAGCATCCTTTTACTGGTGCATTATACATCTTGAAAAACCGCGACCAAAGGGGAGAACGTGAGCCACAAGAGCATTAACTCTGTTGATGAAAACACATTCCCACTTGCTACAGATCCACTAGGATTTTTGATATTCAATTAAAGAAACCTTTTTCAAAGTATATTCTTGAGAGTACTAGTTTTAAGCAAAATCAGTAGGTGCTACCAAAAACTGTTTTAGAAGCACCGATTTAAAATCTCCTTTAAATAGGCTTCTGTAAAACCTGATTTCTCAGAGTTTTAAAATTCTATCTCTATAGCAAAGAGGATACATTGTGCAGCATTGCTCTGGAACACAGAAAGCTCTTTTTCTCAGTTGAGCTAAACTAACATTCTAAAAAAATACATTGTAGGGAATACTAAATTAAGGGATGTTTAAAACCTGTATGACCTGTCTGAAATGGCCAAGAAACTGTTATCTCCAACATACTTTCTAGAGCAATTTTGTTGGCAAAGCAGACACCTGCCATGGGTACTAGATATGAAATAATATTTGCTGAAATGTGACTCCAGAGTTCTGTTCTTATTTGAAAAATTGATAGCAGTTGGATACCTGAATAATCATTGTCTGCTTAAGGACACAGGGTAATGATGAGCAGAGGGGGCTAAAGTATTTGTGTAAAGGTTATACAAACACTTTATAGGGGTGGGGAAATTGATATCTATAGAGAACTCAGAATTATTGACAGCTGAGAGGCATTCAAGATTTGTAATTGGAAATGGAAGGCTTTCTTCTTGTGTCCTTTTATTCAGCCATTGAATAATTATTTACTAGGTACCAGGCATCGTGTGGAGTGTTGGAAGATGCAGAGACATGTAACACTTGGTCCATGCCTTTAGAGAGATGAGAGTCTGGACAATTTTAGTAGAAGAGTGATGAACACTCTGGGAACACAGAGGATGGGGCACAGAAACCTCTGCTAATTTTCATCTATGAAGCTAAGTTAGTAATATCCCCAATCCTTGCAAACAACTGCCCTTGGTACACATTACAAGCCTGTTTTTGTACACATAGGACTTGCACACAGTTGTTATCAGCAGTAACACATGGATTACAGGCAGCAGTTTGGTTTGTTTGATTTAGTGTTGTTTCACTAAGGCTGTCTCTGTTTTTAGCAAATAGATGTAGTAAGACAGTGCTTAGTTTAGGATGGAGAAGCACTTATCCCAGAGTTGCTTTATTGCTATATTTCTCTATGAATAGTAAACAACAACAACAACATCTGATGAATAAATCTCCATTCAGATGTTTCCCTCGATTCAGAATTATCATGCCTCTTGGATACTGAAAGTACCGATCAATGCACAACACTGTAATTTAGGTTTTGCATATTTTTGCATGGCCTTAATACATGAACTTAGCGAATTTAGAAGAATACAGAATCATGGGCTTGTAGTTTTCCATAAAAAGTGTTCCTCTAAAGCTTTGTGTATTGAGAAACCTTGTTTTCATTAGATGGTTCTGGTTCTGAAATTTTCTGATGTTCAAGTTTAGAAACTCAGAAATACAGTTGATTTCATAGAAGATTCCGTTCTCAAAGAGTAGAACTTTGACTTTTCAGGGGGTATGTGTATTAGAAATAGGAATATGGGTCATGCTTTTTGCTTGTGGTGGTGGGCATATAATTCTTCTGGGGCTTCCGTTTTTCGTTGCCAAAATACATGTTATCCCCAACGCATATTTTACGGACTACTACAATGTAGTGAAGAATGATTGATTGGACTGTTGTATTGTTCATCTGGATGAAGAAAATTTGGAGAATTAAAGGAGTGGAAAAGGACATACAGTGAAATGAACATGGAATGAGGGGAAGGAAGAAGAGCAACTTCAACATTATCTGGAACACTCTATTTCCTTTATATATAAAAAAGTGATCAAATGACAAAAATGATAACATTTACCTATTCTGATTGTTGCTAGATAAGTATTTCTCACATTATTCCTCTCTTTTACGTTAGTTAGAAAAGAAATTATTATTCACAATATAATGATTCATTCATTCAACAAATAATCTGTTGAGAGCCTACTATGTGCTAGCAATAAAACGGAGAAAAAAACGGACGTCATCCCTGCCCTCTGGCATTTGTGTTTTAGATGTGAAAGTGAAATGTTTGGGAGCTGATGTAGAATATTCAAAAGGACAAAGTGAGGGGATGGGGGTGAATGAACTTTTACTGACATCGGGGAGGTGGGCTGCTGTTGGTACTGAATCAGTAAGCGATGACTATTCTATGCTGATAGGAACTGCATTACTTTTGGTCAAAATAAAGTTAAAGTTTCATCATGCATTGGTGGGGGGCCACACATCGAAAGCAGTCTTATGTGTTATCACTTTTCTCACTGGTTGCACGCCCAAGTTCACCTGCATTTTTCTTTGATTCCCTCTAGTATATGACTGCCGCCGCTCCTATGCAAGGGACCTACATTCCCCAGTACACGCCTGTGCCTCCGACAGCTGTTTCCATTGAAGTAAGTCTGTCTCTTCTTACAGAACAAGGTTAGGGCAGATAAATCTCAGCCACATGCACTGGGGTCCACCATAACCCCCCAAATCCTTATTTGTGATTTTTGTTCTGCTTGAACATTTGAAGTTGCAAACTCACTCTGTGAAAGTATGTACTTTACTTGAACATACCTATGTTTTGCTTTGCATATGACATAAGCAAAATTTGGTATCCAGGTCTGCGAGGAGTGCCATTTTTATGTTTAGAGAAAAGATCAGAGATCAAATAACTGCCTCATCAAATGTTAGCCACAAACACTCAGAAAGAGGAAGGCAAACATGTGCAGCTATTTGAATGAGCTAGTTCTCTGATGCCTTGTTTCTCCAGTAGTGGGCCCTAGACCAGCATTATCAGTATCACCTGAGAGCCTGTTAGCAATGCAGATTTTCAGACCCCACCCGGATCTACTGAATCAGAGTTTGCATTTTAACAAGATCCCTTAAGGATCAAGGTGCACATTAGAAGTTGAGAGGGACTGGATTAGAGAACTGGTTGTCAAACTCTTCTGCATATCAAAATTATTTTAAAAATTAATACTTTAAAAAATAGTGATGCCTAGGTCCTTTTGCCAGAGAGTCTGATGGGGTCTAGGGTGTGGACTGGACACCAGGATTTTTAAAAGATGCTAGGTGATTCTAATGTGTACCAAAGATGAAGAACCACTGCTCTCGCCAATGAACCTTGACAGGACTGTGGCATCCTACAGACAAGAGAGAAAAACTTCTACCACTCATATTGCTATGGATGCTGTGAAAGATAAAGTCATATTTTCCTTACTGCAAGCTTTGTCCCTTCCTTCTCTCTTTCCATTGGGCTGAATCCATTTCCTCTACACATTATTTTACTGGACAGAGCCAGCAAGATACATAGGAAAGGAGTGGGGCATAGGGCTAGGTGGATGGTGGTAAGACACTTAGAGGTGTATACTTCTCTCTGGTTCTAACCATTATTGTTTCTTGCCCCCCCCCCCGCCCTTCCCCTTCTCCTGATGCGCATTTGCCATTATGGTCACAGTGCATTTCTTCCATCAGTTGGGACTCCTCTGGAGTTCACGCCATTGCTACTCCATGAGTTGGCCAACCAACTCATGTTGGTACCACTCATTGTGGGAGACCACCATGACTCTTCCAACCTCTGGAGCCACAGAGATTGGGTGAGATCTTTACAGACCAAATTAGATCTTTTGAAATGTTTGCTTGTTTTTACTGTGTGACAAATATTTGCTCGTACCAAGGTTTGGGAAGCACAGACATTTAAGAGGACAGTGTCCTGTCACTTAGGAAACCAAGGAGGTCCAATTTTTAAATCTTTTATGTGTTCCAGACCTATGGTCCCCAAGGAATGTTTCAGTATTAAAGAGGTTTTAATTGGCTTTTCAGAATTTCAAGAATATGTGATTAAAATGTATGTTCTTTGCTATATTTAGCTATCAAAACCCATCTAGGCCATAAGAAAATTATGAATCTAGACATTGTAGGTGACTTTAAGCATAAATCTCTGCCACATATCCGCATTTCTCTATCTCTGGACCAAATGTGTGTGCTTATCTACAGAATCTGGGCTATTTGAGGACTATAAAATAAGGAGACACATTTGACAGTGTTGTTTATTGGGAACAGTCTAATTATAGTTAAATCTGGGATTTAAAAAGAAATATTTCGCTAAGAATTATATAAGTATACCCTGATATATTGCCTTGAGTTTGTGCTTATAAAGGAAAGCACTGATGCATTTTCTATGTAAAAACACTCATTGAAAATTCACCAGTATCCACACAAATCAGTGTGGGTGGGAGGTTCATCAAAATGCATAACACCAAATAGTATATTAGGGAAAAAGAAGATTGAATTCATAAAGGGAGAATTTTCAGATTCTGAGGAACAATTTCAGGGAGTTTTGTTAGGGATAGGGAGTTGACCAAAAACCTATATCCCTGCAGAAGCCCAAGGCTATAATATAAGTAAAACCAGGAGAATGTATTCAGATAGATTCCCTCCTTAGGACTACTAACTACCAAACCTCTCTCGGAACCAAACACATTCTGAATAATGACCAACTCAAGAAATCCATTCTCCTTGGCAAAAGCCATTCAAATGGTAAGGGGAGGAGCGAATCAAAATTAAGGATGCTTGTTTCTTTTTTTCTTTTTCTGAAGCTTCTAAATGAATTCCAGTTCACATCAAGGAAAATGAAAATAAATAAATAAAACAAATCAAATTGCTTAAGGGAGACCCTGCTTAACAGTGTCCTTTAAAAGAATTCCAAACTTGGATGTAGATTTTTATGAAGGTCAAAGTCCATTGTTTTGCCAGATCATAGAGACAGGGTAGACTACTTTATTCCCAGGAAAATGCTCAAATATACACGTTTTTATAGGAATTCTGCGTGAATTTTTTGATTAAGGAATCACTATTTAGTGCGGCTGTATGCAACCATGATTTAAAAGTTCTAACTATGGGCAAAATGCTTTCCTCATCATTTGACTGCTACAGGGTCTTCTGATGGCAAGGCTTCTTGGTGACACGATGAGGTAAATTCCTCAGCCCTTATCCAAATGTGCTCTGTGGTTTTTCTTTGGGTTCTTCCTGTGGCTTTATATAGCTGAGCGCAGCTCTACTCAAGCCACATGGAAGATGGGTATGCCCTACAGTCCATCTGCAAGAAGCCCTTTTGCTAAAGCCAATAAGACTTTTGTGTTCTTATTGCCTCCGTAGGGTGTTGTTGCTGATACCTCTCCCCAGACAGTGGCACCTTCATCCCAGGACACAAGTGGTCAGCAGCAGCAGATAGCAGTGGACACATCCAACGAGCATGCATCCGCATATTCTTACCAACAGTCTAAGTAAGTTCAAGCCATACTAAACTCTTTCC